GTAGAGACCGTGGGGTAGAGACCGTGGAGTAGAGACCATGGAGTAGAGACTGTGGAGGCCTGGCTTGTGAAGGTTCAGAGGAAGGAGAAACTCTACCAGGACTTTTGAGTTGAGAATCTGAGGTTCTGGTCAGCTGGGGCTGAAGAATCAGCTATGATTAACAAGGACCAGAACCACTGAAGTAAAACCCATGCTTTACTGGGACAACTGATGCTGGTCAGCTGGAGCTGAGTAATTATTGTGATTAAGAAGAGACCAGCATTATTGAGGTGAAATCTGGGAAGTGTTTCCTCAGAGTCCACACACAGAAGCTGTGTTTCAAAGATGGTCAAGGTTGTGCCTTGTGCCGGCAGCCGAACTTGGTAGTGTAAGAGTCACCCAGGCGGTGCTGGGTTTGAAGTGATGAAGGTGTTCTGAAAAGCAGCTGAGGCCTGGCACTAGGAGAATCCGGGATAGGTCATTGGCGAAGGTGTGGGCTCCACAGTAGTTGAAGCCCCAGAATTGAAGGGTTCACTGAGGCTTGGCACCATGAAGAGAGCCCAGGAGAGGCTATTGGTGAAAGTGCAGCCCAGTTGCAGCAGAGGACACCAGCATTTTGGAGATGCCAGGACCATGGGGTGACCACCAAGAACAGCATTGGTGGAATGGAACCAGCTGGAGCCTGGAAGACAAGCTGTGTGTGTGCTGCAGAGGGCGGAGCTGGAGAAGTGACCCAGGTCCTTTGGAGGAGCCCAGAAGATCGTGAGTGAATCCCAGACATTGCGCATTGTATTATTCACACTGTTGGGAGTTCAGTTTTGCTTTGATCTGATTGTGACTGTGCTTTGGTTCTTCCCTCTTGAAGTAAGAAAGTATTGAATATTTATTTTTACAAGTACCCACAGTTGAGAAATTTTGAACTTTTTTTTTTTTTTTCGAGACAGGGTTTCTCTGTGTAGCTTTGCGCCTTTCTTGGAACTCATTTTGTAGACCAGGCTGGCCTCGAACTCACAGAGATCCGCCTGCCTCTGCCTCCCGAGTGCTGGGATTAAAGGCATGCGCCACCACCGCCCGGCTTAAATTATTTATATTTTTAATGTAAGATCTCAGGGATGAATGAGAAAGGAAAAGTTGTGGGTTAATAGTGATGTGTTTGTGTGTCCAGTGACAAGGGATCAATTGTCCTGGCTGGTCTTATGTCATCTTGACACAAGCTGGAGTCATCTGAGAGGAGGGAACCTCAATTGAGAGGATGCCTCCTCAAGATCGGGCTGTGGGAAAGCCTGTAGGGCATTTTCTTAATTATTCATTGATGTGGGAGGGGCCAGCCCATTGTGGGTGTTTGATGTGGGAAGGCCCAGCCCACTGTGGGTAGAGTCAACCCTGGGTTCTATAAGAAAGCAGGCTGAGCACGCCAAGAGGGTTAAACCAGTAAGCAGCACCCCTCCATGACCCCTGCATCAGCTCCTGCTTTCAGGATCCTGCCCTGTTTGAGTTCCGGTCCTGACTTCCTTTGATGATGCACAGTGATGTGGAGTTGTAAGCCAAATAAACCCTTCACTCCCCAGTTTGGTCCCAGTGTTTCATCACAGCAGTAATTAAGACAGAGGGCTAGATGTTTTACTTGGCTTGGTCAAATCAGCGGATATTTTGGAAAACAGCTGCTTGCTTGCTAATGGAAGTGAAAATGACCCTTTCCCTCAACTCTTGAGTTTCTTTAAAATATTCTGCAGGGTGTGGAACATGCGAAGGGTACACAGAATGGTGTATGTAGATACGTGTCTAGGTCTTACACCCCAGGAAGCCCTGTACCTGTTGCACTGTGGGTGTGCATGTGTACGTGCATCCTCCTGAGCTGTGTTCTGTCTCGGCTTGGAAGAGACAGATGCAGGGAGGGAGGAAATAGGAAGTGTGAGCATCTTGAAGGAAAGAGGTTGAGACCTTGGAGGCTGAGACTGGAGGTGGCACCAGGGTAGATCTGTGGACGAAGTGGCAGGCTGTTTGTGTGGAGCTCTCTGAGCATCCCTGCCCCTTAGTCCATCTCTGAGATGCCTGCCTCAGTGGCTGAGGTGCCATCTGTAGTGTGACTGAGATCATGGAAAGGCTTTAAAGAAAAGAGCATTTGGTTCTCAGTAAACTTTTCTCCCGGGTCAGGAAAGACATGACTTTTCCACACAGAATAAGAATAACTTTAATATGGTTTGGTTTTGTGGCGTAGGTGTTGTAGTCTCAGAAGCACAAATTGGGAATGTGTCATGCTGGGGTGACCAGTGTTACACTTAGTTCATATCGAAGTTCAGGAAAGACAGGTGATCACAGGGCGGTGATACCGACAGACGGGTCACCCTGGGGTCTCTTCAGTGATGACAGGACTCTGGGTTCTTGTGTTAACCCCACAGCTACAATCGGATTGGATTTAGTAGAAAGCTGATGGTGTTCAGGGGCGTGCTGGACAGGAGCACTTCCTGGTGTCAACAGATGGGCGGTGGTGTCAGCTCTGGATCATGTTGAGGTGGCTGCGCGCCGGCCAGCAGAGGGCGTGCAGTCAAGGGGGAGTGGCCGGCTGGGCGTCTGTAGGTGTGGCTGACCACTCCAGCTCCTTACTTCTGTATTGTGAGTTTGAACTCCACTTTCCCTTCATATGGGTCATGGGGGTTGTCGAAGGTCACATGGTCTGCCAGGATCTTGCACACGATGAGGACTTCTGTGTTCTTGGGGATGTTGAGAAACTTTGCTGCCACCAGAGGGTTACTGTAGTGGGGCTGGAGTGGAAGAAGGGGCGGGGGATGAGATGCTTGGAAAAAACCCTGGATGTTAAGAAAAACAAGACTAACTGATGAAGGGAGGGATAGGCATAAAGGACTCTCCTTCGAGTCTGTCTTGAGGTAAGGCCTGTTTGGTCCAGTGACCCTTGGGTCACAGAGAGACTGGCTTCTGCCCACAGAGCAGGTACAATGAGAATACTTACTCTAGGAGCTCCAGACGGAAAACAAGATGTGAAAATAAAATGGGGGGAAGAATGCGGTGTGGGGGAAATGCTTTGGAGAGATTCCTGGATCCCAGGAGGACGGGGGAGACCCTGCACTCTAAGGGACTCGGGTAGATGTTCATGGTTTTTGAGAGGTGCGTTTCTAAGTGGATAAAAGAAATGTCCAGGACTGGGTGTCTTTTCTTTCATTCATTTTCTTTGTTTCTTATTCGCTTTTCCAAGATAAAATCTCCTGCAGCCAAGATTGGCCTTGAACTTGCGCTGTAGCCCACATGACCTTACGCTGCTGACCCTCTTGCCTCCCCCTCCCAAGTGCTGGGACTGCAGGTGTGTGCCCTTTTGCTCGGCCTTTGTCCTGCTTTTATAGAAGTGGCTTTTCCGTTGCCAAGTCTGAGGGAATTTAGCACATGCATTGGGGCAGAGTGAGGCGGACCTACCTGGGCTTTCTTGCCATAGTAGGGGAAGTAGTGGAGACTGAAAGTACCATTGGGTGGGTAGTACGCGACCTGCAGGGGCTCAGTGTCCTTCTGGGGGTTCCGGGGATCATCCTGAGGAGGAGAGACCACAGCCGAGTCTAGTAAGCACTGGGCACATGGCCATGTGTGTACAAGTAGACATGTGAGTTATGCATGTACTGGGCGGCAAACCCTGGTACCAATGCCAGCGATCACATCAATACTTTGTGTGTTAGTGCAGCAGAGTTGACCTTGCTCCTGGCCAGCGTCCCTAGTCAGGCCTTAGACCCTGGTGCCTTCTCGAAATGCCAAACCTCCACCACTTCTCACCCCGCTTATTCCGTCTTAGTGTCTTGGGCGAGTGTTGGAACTGGGGAAGCCGGTGTTTGATTATTAGCACGTGAGATGAGAGGGTTTGACAAGACCAAGCACCTCCTTTGCCAAAACCGGGTGCAGGGTTTGTGCGGGGGTTTCTGGATTAAGTGTAAACACAGGTTCCTGGGATCTATTTCCTCTCATTGTTGGAGTCAGACCTGCCCAATGGGTGGCTTACGTTCATCAAGGAACAATGACCTCTAAGGTCAGCTTGTGTGTGGCCAAAATAATTCAAACAGCGAAGAACAAGCAGACGCCTGAGCCCTAGGGACAGAGCCCCGAGGGGATAGATGTTCCTTGGGTCACTCACGGATGTGCCCTTTTGACGTGCCGGTTAGGGCTCGGCATTGAAAACAAGCCTTGGGAAACATTTAGGGAAGGAAAGTTTATATTTGATATTGTACCTCGTCATTTTGTAAGAGTTTCTCTGTGATTAATGCCACCTACGTAGACACGCCAAGCTCCATCAAGCAACAATGCTATTGGTGATCTGGAATACTTTTTGTAAATAAAAAAATAAAGCCCATATGGTAGTAGAAATGGCGGGCCACCCACCTTATGCCAGGCTTTCTGAAATGTAAGTAACTGCACAGACCTGATGAAGGGGAATCCGTAGCTATGGCATTATTTCTCTGAGCTGTCACCCCGGGCCGCGGCTGACAGGTGACGGTTGGCGTGTGCCCAGGGTTCCCTCGGGTCCCACCCTTCCCAACCCCAGCTGTGCTCACCTGGAACGTGCAGTCCACTCGGGGGGCTGTGGTGTTGCTGGGAAGGAACTTGACGATCTAGAAGAAAGGCTGTGATGCACCCCTGATGTGCAGGTGGATGCTCACACATGCTTCTGAGCCATGCCCCCCCCCCCAGGTACTGTGGTCTAGGAGGGCGGTTGGCAATGGCGGAGCTGGCATAGAGGGGCCCTGGTCACCGGCATGATGTTCCGGTCTGCTGTGGTGATGTGCAGCAGCCTTCCTTGCTGTAGGATGGGTCTACCTGCTGCTGTCAGTGGGGTCCCCAGAGCCCCACATTCCTTCCCTAGACTTCTTGAGCCCCGGTCATTGTCCCCTGAGCGGGACCTGCCTTTGGCAGGAGTGTCAGCAGCTGCATGGGCCGGTGCAGCCCTGACCACAGACCACGCGCCAGGCAGCCCTGGGGAGAGCTTCCCAGGCGAAGGACTTCAGTGCTGGGTTCGGTGCATGAGTGTGTGGCTTGCTAAGACCTGGTAAAATGGGAATGAGCAGCGAGGCCAGTTGGGCTTCACCTGCCACTCGGTCCCCCGAACAGTGTGACCCTGAGCCCCTGTTGCCTGAGGGCCACTCAGCTCTACTGCACTTCTGCCACTTGTTTACTGTGTCTTTGTTCTTAGGGCATTGGTGGGACTTGCGGCCACTTGGCTTCAGATCCCACTGAAGCCCCAGCGATTCCTGTGGGACCAACCCTGAAAGACTCCTGTTTCTGCTACAGAAGGAGACCATGCAGAATGCCCCAGCTTCCCCCAGTCTGAATCCCCTGCTAGCGAAGATCTCTCCTTTATTAGCTCTGTGTTGTATTTGCAAGACACTGTCTGAGCAGAAAATTCTCGATTTGTGTTTTAGGAGCTGAACATGATGAATGTGTATGGAGTCAGGGTGGGGGCATGATAAAGGGCCCAGGCTCCATTGTGAAGTGTGAGGGGGTGGGGTGGGGGGCTCCTACCACTCCAGGGCCTCCTCTGAAGTGGGGCCCTTGGTACTCACTCTGTTCATTTTAATAATGAAGCAGGGCTTCCCCTCCTCGAAGCCGAAGCTGGGGTCCACCAGGCCTGAGCAGTTCTGCAGCATGTCTGCAGTGAATTTGCAGGAGAACTTGGTATGGTTTGGAGCGGCAAAGCTCTCCTGGAAGAAGTACTTTTCGGAGGTGCAGTTGATGCTGCCCTGCTGGGACGCCGGGGTGTAGCCTGTGGAACACACATCTGTCATCAGCCAGCCCACACAGCCCAGGGAGGAGGTCCCCAGTCCCCAGGATTCTCTCAGGCGACAGGCACATGGCTGCATTGGCGTTCACCCACCTGCTAAGAAGTTGTGGAGGGCGTGTGTAAGGCCAGCCCAGGAGCTGTTTTCAGAGACATTGTAGGAAATCTGCAGTCCTCTTTCCCCATACACATCAGGTCTCAAGGTCACACCTGGAAAGAAAGAACACCTCCTTGATCAGTTTCTCCAAGCGCTCACTTATACTGAGCCCTGGGCCCTGAGGTTGTCCAGTCTCGCATAAGCCCCAACCACAGGTAGATAGCATCTGAGGTAGAATCGGTTCCTCGAGCTCCTAGGAGGGAGGTGCAGGACAGGCACCCCCTCTAGCCAAGGCAGGAACACTCTAAAGAAGGGCCCAAGAACTCTGAGAACACAGGTCCTGGGGCCCCTGACCTCTGCAGAATGCAGCAAAGTGGGAATGAGAGCCTGCTCTGTCCCTGAGACTCTGGGTGCCCAGGCCCCAGCAATGGGGATACATGCTCCACAGGGGACTCTGGGCCCCGGGGGAGTCATGAGCAAGATTGGCACCGTGGATGCTAGCCTCTGGGGGTGCTCCCCACAGCCTGCAGGTAGGTCTCCAGGGAAAAGGAATCCGAACACACATCAAGTGTTTCACCTGGGGAGCCAGTGTGGTGGCACACACCTTTAATCCCAGCACTCAAAAGATAGAGGCAGGCAGATCTCTATTTGAGGCCAGCCTGGTCTATATAGAGAGAGTTCCAGGACAGCCAGGGTTGTCTCAAAGGAAAAAAAAAAAAAGAAAAAAAATTTCACTTGGGGCCTGGAGAGATGGCTCGGTGATTAAGAGCACAGGCTGCTCTTCCAGAGGACCCAGGCCGGTTAGATTCCCAGCACCCACAGGGCAACTCACAACCATCTGTAACTCAAGTTCCAGGACAGCTGATGCCCTTTGCCAGCCTCTGTAGCCACTGGGCACATGTGTGCAGGTGCACAGACAGATGTGCAGGCAGAACACCCATGCTCATAGAAACAAACGGAAAAAATGTAAAAAAAATTTTTTTAAACACTTGTGCTGCAAGAAAGCTCAGCAGGTAAAACCACCCAACCTTGGTGACCTGAATGTGGTGCCTGGAACCACACAGTGGAAAGAGAGAACCAACTCCCGAGGGTTGTCTTCTCGCTGCACATGTGCGTGCAGGCCTACACCCCTACACCCCCGCACACGAGTAAATGAACAATTGTAAAAATACTTTTAAAACACTACACTGATTCTAATTAAATGCAAAATCATTTTTAATAGGTTAAGCGTGTGTGTGTGTGTGTGTGTGTGTGTGTGTGTGTGTGTGAGAGAGAGAGAGAGAGAGAGAGAGAGAGAGAGAGAGAGAGAGGGAGAGGGAGAGAGGGAAAGAGGGAGAGAGGGAGGTCACCGAGTCACTTCAGTCCGCTGTACATCCGCTGAGTGTGGTCTTGGTTCTGCTAACGGATGGGATGTGAAGGATGTGAGTTCATGGTGCAGATGCATGCACAAGCGGCCTGGAGCCACCCTGCCCACCTCTGTCTTGTTCTAGCGCTGGTACCCTACTCCCTGACCCCTTTTCCATGAAGTCACTCATTCTTTCCAGTAACACCCTGTGGCCTTTGGTGGGGAATGATCCACAGTGTGCTCAGCCTGGCCCGTTCATGTGGCTGGCTTTCTGTGAGCCGGGGCTTTTGCTGTTTTTATGGGTGTTAGGAAGAGAACAGCTGTTCAAGATGCAAAGGGAAAAGGACTTGTTTTTCATGTTTCTCGGCCTCAGATGACTGGGTCTCAGCTCTCCACTCATCCATCCCAGGGATTAGCGAGCAAGTGGGTGTTTCCACCCCAGGTCTTCCTCTTTCGACCCCCAGATCTACTCCCTGGCAGCAATCTCCTGTGTATTCTGTGGACACTCCCCTGGGTATGCAGAAGCATAAAATGCGGGTGCACAGGCTTCTCATCCCAGTGACCTCCTAACCCCCTTTATTACCTAAAACTAAAGCCAAAGTCAGACTTTGCAATTTAGACTCACTGTCCCTATTGGGAAGCTGTGGGACCCCCTGCCCTGGGTGTGTGTGGGCAAGAAGGGACTCCGTGCTGTGCCTTGTTTTGTGTTCCCCAAGAGCATTGCCGAGGCCCCCCTGATGCTTACCCGGCGACTTTAACTGGTCTTGGTAGTCTGGGGTGTAGGGGTCGATGGTCTGCATCAGCACGTAGATGCACAAGGCAAAGAGCCCTGTCATGACCACGTAGAAAGCTGCGTAGTAGAGGCTGATCCACACTGTGAAGAGAGAGGTGGAAGCAGCGGCCTCAGCTGTGGCAATGTTCTCGGCACAGGCCCACGGTTTCCTCCATCTCCGGCACGGGGCACAGTTGGTGGCGTGCAATGCACTCACGACGCTGCACTGTCAGCACCTTTGAGTTCCAGAACCTTCTCATCCAAGTGGAATGAATCCCTGGGCTCTTTGGCACCCTCTTACCCTTGCTCTCTAGTTCTGGAACTCACCACCCTACACCATCTCTGATCTCTCCCGCCCCCCCCAACCCCCCCCCCCGCCCCAAACAGAACCACAGGGCATGTTCACAGCCTTATGTGGGCTCCTGTCACGCCCCCTGCACATTAGTGGCAACTATGTGTGCTTGGTTCGCTGATCACTATATCTACAGCCATCGTGGCAGGATCCCAGAGCCTCTTCTGTTCCCTGGAGTTCCTGTTGCTTCCCACACTACAGGATGGGAAAGGCAGGAAAAGGTAGCTGCTGGCCACAGTGACCCCCCGTGCATGGTCTGGCTGGGAAAGGCTATGACTGCGTATATCTAGATGGTGCTCTGAGGACCTGGCAGGTCCTTGCCCTGTGTCCTGCAGAGAGGAAGGTTGGCAGGCATGCTGGGCAGGCCCAGCTCCTGTGGCTCCCAGCACTCTGGTTGAAGCATCAGAGGAAGGAGATGTTCCAACCCCAGTGTGAGCCAGGCTCCCTGGGCTCCTGAAGACCCCTTTGATGATGTTCCTTTCGAGTCAGGGCGACTACACCCATCTGGGGCATGGCCTTGGGCTTGGGCTACTCTGAAGTCCCCACAGTTGTGTTTGAATGATTTCTAGCCATGGGAGCCACTGCTAAGAAACATGTCGTCAGAAGAAGGTCTTTGTGCTGGCGTGGCTTTGGTCTTCCTGGGAAGGTCCCTAAGAACGTGGGATGCCCCTTCCAAATGCATGATGTGGGTGTGGCTTTCTCCCAGTAGGTCTTTCTTCAGTGGCCCAAAAAGTGACTAAAGGGCAGGACCAAGTCAGTGGGGACAGAGATGGTGGGGGGGTCACAGGCTGGAGGCCAGCTATGGGATTGGGGTCTTTTTTTTTTTCTTTCTGACAGGCCCTCCCTGGAGGGTCAACACAGCAGTTGCCTATCTCAGAACTGTGGTTCCGTGGAGACCTTGTACTATACTTGGGTTTGGATGTTGTAGTGGCCGATGGATGGCCTGACCCTGTGCTGATAGGGTTGTCAGGGCTGTACACCCACTTAGCATCCTGGTCTACAGGGGTGGATGCCCAACAGAGGGAGAGCTCCCATTGCAGGGGTGACGTGATCACTGCAGGTTTCCACAGGTTCCTACCCGATGTGGCGTCTGTCTAACTTATCTACTTTCCTGGGACCTGAGCTCCCACAGGTAGGAATCTCAGCTTTGCTGTTTGTCCATCCTGCCTCACAAGCCCGCTTCCTGACTAGTCAGCTAATGGGTGTGAGAACCAGAGCCCAACATCTCCCAGGTGCAGATGAAGGATCCCAGCTTTGCTACCATCAGGCTTGGCTCCCCCAAGTGGCCAATGCCATGGACTCTCACAGCTTGGGAACTACTGGTGGTAAGAGTTCCATGTCACACAGAGAAAGAGTGTGGCCCCGGTGGTGGCACGGTATGCCCCAAGTCACTGAGACCTCTGCTGTTCTCAGCCTGTGGTCTCCAGCCCCCATTTCCTCTGAATACCGCATGTGCTTCTTTCCCTAAGAGTGACTTGCTCCATTCCTTTCTACCATTTCCCTTGAGAATGTCATCCCCAGACACTGAGGCCAAGTCCTCGATTCAGGCTATGAAACCATTCCAGAAAGTTCTGAGTGACATTGAAGCCATCAAGGAGACTTGTAGGAAGCTTGGCAGCTAGAATAGCCTACCACACAAGGGTCCTGAGAGGCTACCTGGCAGCCCCCTCATCTGCCCCAGGACCCCATCTGCTGACCCACTTCCTGGGATGGTCCCAGCACCAGCCCTGCTTCTGGGTTTCCCACTGGTGAATGGTGACCTCCTGTTTCCTCTCTGCTCTGGAATTTATTATATTTTCCCTAAGTCGGCAGAGACTCAGGGGTGCTCTCTGCCCCTGGGAGGTCTCAGGGTCTTGAGGAGGGAGTTCGCGATCTCCTTCTCCATGAACAGTGTATACTTTTCATGTGGGAGCACATCGAAGCTGGGCCGAGGCTGGCTGAGTGGCCGCAGAGTTGAGTGATGAGGTATCACCCTCCCATCTCGATTCTCCAGCCCCCCAAGATGGGTGGTAAAAGGTCAGCCAAAGCGCCTTTAATGTGTGCCCAGACCTGAAGGACCTTGGACTGTATCCCCACATGACTGCTGTGGGAACCCAAAGGAACAAGCCCGGGGCTGCCTTCTAAGGAGCAAGGTGGCACACACCCCGTATCCCCAGTGATGTAGCCTGCAAAGCCCTCACTGTACCCCTCCAAGCTCTGTCTGTAACGCCCATGTCATGGGTCCTGGAAAGCCTGGGAGACATTCACTCTTTGGGGTCTCAGGACTACTTCCTGTTTGTGGAGGATCTACTCTGTGAGGGGACGTCCTGAACAGGTGCACAGCCTTCTAGTCTGTGAGGACTTTTCTGTTCCTACAGTGGCCCCAGAAGAAAGGGTCCCCCAGGTCACCACAGGCCAGCCGTAAGGAAGGGACTCTGTGGATGTATCTACTTAGCCCACCTATTCAGGGCGCTTCAGAGGCAGCCTGGGAATCAGGGAGGTCTCCAAAGATGCCCAGCATGTTAGAGTCATGGCGATTCTCTCTCACAATAGAACAAACCCATTGAAGTAAATCCCTGCCTCCCACATTATCTGAACAAGAAGCTACCATTGCTCGCTCTAACTTAAAACAACAATTAGTTTCAGAAAGAGCTTTAAAATGATGTTTCAAAATTATGGATGAAAAGTTGGGGCCCGTCTTGAACCTACATTGCAGGTGCTACAGAGTCTGAGCCTCAGGGCCATCTGGGGGGGGACCCTGGCTTCCTGCTGGGAGGTGACGCATGGCTTGCGGTGTGTTCCCAGGTGCCCCAGCAGGGCCTGGATCCTGTTGTCTGCCAGCCCCCTGCCTCATCCCATGCCCCCTTCACATGGCCCACACCTACCCCACCGGGCTGGGGTGCGGCCCAGCATCTGCCCAGTGTCCGGGTTCCAACAGTAGTGCCGGAATTCGGCCATGCGCTGGCTGCATGACTTCTTCTCCTGCAGGGCTGCCATGTCCTCTCCCGCTTGCCTGGACTGGGCCCAGGAAGCGTCCTCTCAGGCTTATAGTCTCCCCTGCATGAGGCCAAAGGCATCGGAGGCAGCTATCAGCTCCCCACTATCACCTCTACAAACACAAGGGAGGGCTGGGGCTTGCCTGATATCTGCCCTCTACTGCCCCAGAAGTCAGTTGGTCCTTGGGATGCCCTTGGCTGACAGCTCAATCCTGCCCTGATAGCAACTGAAGAGAAGTGTTTCCGGACTGAACAGCCTTCCAGGTTGTGCCTCATCTCTCCTTCAGGAGGGAAAACACAAACTGGTACCTTCCAGGCCAAAGGCGACAGGCCTGAGACCTGCCACCCTGCCATTCAGGTCCCTGGGGCCTTGAACTGTCTCCTTAAGGCTCCCTTCCTCATTAGGATGGTAGAGAATTTGCCCGAAATGTGCCCACAACTGCCTGGAGTGGCCTTACAGCCCCCCCCTTCTTTCTCAAGAGTTTTCACCTGCTGGTGGTGGTCGGGCCAGAGTCACAGAGGGAACAGGTAAAGGAGAGCGGTGAGCCAAGATGGAGTTGCTGTCAGGGAGGGATCCTGTCTTCCAGTCTCTGCCATGAGAATAATGTTCTCCTTCCCTTTGCTGGAAGTAGGACCAGTTGAGCGTGCCTTTAAGATTCCTCGTGTCTCCGAGAGAATCCCAGTCATGGGATCCGGAGGTGCTCCTGGGTTTTGTTAGTTCTGTCCCGGCTTCTGCTGATGAGGTTCTTTCTGATGCTAGAGCTGCTGGGTGGGGTGTCTCTCAGAGCCCGAGGGCTCCCGGCACTCAGGGGCACCGCAAAGGTCCAGCTCAAGACCATAAGTGGAAGACACACGAGGGCTACGAATGCTGGACGCCTGTCCCCACCTGGTACTCCAGAGGCATCCCTCTGCCACTGCCGGTGTGCCCGATGGGAAGAGCTCCCTAAACGCTCTGAATGTGCCACCAACTCAAGTTGAAGGCAGCGTCTACTCCTGAAAGGGAGGATCAGCCAAGGAAGCGGGATGTGCCCTGCACCTTTTCAAATGTACCTGAGACAAAGCCTGGCCATGTGAACGGTCACCACCAGGAGCTCATTATTGTCACATCTACACAGGCTTTCCCTCTTAGTGACCACATAACCAAACTGGCTTCTTTGGGAAGAAGCACAACCCCTGAAAAACCATGTAGCTTTTAGTTTGCATCTCCCAATATGGTTTAGTCATCTGTAAACAGACACTCTAAAATTTAAATGGGTTTACATCCTTGTAGCTTGGATGTTTATAACTTCTCAGTGGACCAATCCTGCTCAGTGTTTTTGGCACAGACCCACTTATGATGTTAGGATCTTAAAAGCAAGTGAATGGCAGTGGCTGAGATCTAGCTGCTTATAGCCTGTGGGTCTGGGGTCTATGTGTAGGGACACAACAGTGCCTGTCCACCTGGGGCCCATCTTATGTGCCTAAGGGTGCCACATGGACTTGGATCCAGATGTGCAGGGTCTGGAAATTACTTGTAGTCCCGGAGCCAGATGTGTGGGCACCTGAAGATATCTGTGGGGCTAGAGCTGGCATGTGTAGACCCAAGCATGGGGATTGGCAAACAGGGCCCTGAAGGCATCTACACACTGTAGCCATTGTCAGTGAGCATGGAAATGCTCTACGTGCAAACAAAACGTGAGTTATTTCTGAACCTCATTGAGCTCCATCTTTCCACCTCTGAGTTTCTGGACCACACATGGATTGCCTAAGTGACCGACAGTTGTGTCTGTGGGCGCAGCAGCTGAGACCTTGGTAGAGGGCAGTTTTCTCACAGTGTGCTCCAAGAACACGGAACTGGGTGGCCCACCAAACAGCTCCAGAGAAAGGAGCCCTAGACTTTGACCCTGCCTGGCAGTTGTGAAACTCCCCTCTCCTCCACACATGATGTTAGAGGCCAGAATAAAAGTCTCACAATGACTTTTTAGTGCTGAGAGGGCTGAAGTTGTGGCTCAGTGGTTAAGAGCACTGGCTGCTCTTACAAAGGACCTGGGCTCTGTTCCCAGCATCTATATGGCAGCTCACAACCATCCCTAACTCTAGTTCCAGGGGGTCCAATTCCCTCTTCTGACCTCCTTGGGTACATGTAGTGTACTTACATACATGCTGGCAAGATACTCATACATATGAAAGAAAAATAAATCTTTTAAAAGTGCAGAAAGAAGCTGGGCATTGGTGGCACACGCCTTTAATCCCAGCACTCGGGAGGCAGAGGCAGGTGGATCTCTGTGAGTTCGAGGCCAGCCTGGGCTACAGAGTGAGTTCCAGGAAGGCGCAAAGCTACACAGAGAAACCCTGTCTCGAAAACCAAACCAAACAAACAAAAAACAACAACAACAACAACAAAAAACAAAAAAAAAAAAGTGCAGAAAGAAAAGAACGATCAAGCCAGAATCCCAAGTCTAAAAAAAAATCTTTAGGGGTAAAGGGAAAATCTAGACATCATCAAATGAAGGAAAATTAGTGTGCTGCCAGCAGACGTGTGCTGAGTGGGTGACTAGGGGGCCCAGGGGTCATGCCACTGGGTCCGGGCGGCAATCTAGACAGGCCGTAGTAATGTAGGCGAGGGGGAAGGACTTCTCGGGAAGCCACGCAAGCTCTGCTTTGTCCTGAGCCGTAAGCAAATGGGATCTTTGTTCTCCTCTTCCTCAGGAGCTCCAACTCTGGCTTTGTGTTAGGATAGACTCCCCAGCTCTGGACCTTGGCTGTTGGAGAGAAGCAGGAAGATTTTAGGGCAGTTCTGGGACCTTTTCAAACTGAAGTTCAAAGCTGGAACTCCCTTTGTCAGCTTCAGACCCATGGGAAACAGAAATGGACAGTGGGACAAAGACTGTGGATGACTGCAAAGCCATATTTCCAAATGAGGCACAAGATGTCCGTAGACGGTCTGAGAAATTTACCGACTGTCATCAGTGTACTCGGCGACACAGGCTTCTGGGAAGGGAGGCGCAGGGACGATGAAATGTGACCTCCAATAGCTCCATGAATTCATTTCCACTGGACTCTGATAGGGAGGGAAAGACCCAAGAAAGCACCTGCCTCCACCGACTCCTTCTGTTAAACAGGCACAGGCACCACAGAGAGAACACAGGGAATTAGAAGGGTATCTTAAAGCAGGTCGTCCATACGACTCAGCTATACCACCCCGGCTTATTCACCCACAGGGCGCTAAGGCAGCACATCCCGGGGACGCTCGCACATCAGTGTTTATTTCAGGCGTGTTTGCGACAGCTGAGTTACAGGAGCAGCGTGCGGGTTTGACAGCAGGGGAATGATTAAAGAATATAAGCGGTGCGTTCCCCCCTCAAATGATGTAATTTGCAAGAAAAGAGATGTAACTGGAGATAATCAAGTGAATTAATAGTCTCTCTCTCTCTCTCTCTCTCTCTCTCTCTCTCTCTCTCTCTCTCTCTCACACACACACACACACACACACACACACACATATCCCTGACAACACAACACACATTTCTTCCAAAAAGAGTCTGCCCCGTGGTGTGGCCCTAGGTCTGGTCATGGCGGGATTTGTAGCAAAGTGTGCTAAAAGCTTTTTCCCCTTGAGATCTCATGCAAAACAAAACGTGAACACACTAGGCTTTTCCGGTGCTATTTTGATGATGTTTTCCGCTAATAAAGTAAAACTGCAGATTATTTGTTCACAAGGTTTGTGGTTCCATGATTTTTAAGAACTGCTTTGTTGTAGACGCTTCAGGCTGTATTACACCTTGTCAGAAGTGAATGTCTGCTTCAGAGGACACTGAACTGCCTTGTGTTCTCCTGCACGACTCATTACACTTGTACATTTAGATTCCACCAGTCTCCTCTGCTAGAAAAATCCCAAAGCCCTAAGGAAAATTAGCGTTTGTACACAGGATGGTATCTTTAAAGAAAGAGAAGATGTGGCACTTGTAGAGACTGGTGCCTTCTTCTGATCATCCTTTCTTACATTTTTTTTCTTACTTAGTTTTTATTCATAATCATAAACTTAACTGCCATCCAGCTAGACTTGGAGGGGAATGAGGAGAATGTGGAACCCAGAGAACATCAGTGCGGGGAATTTGGAGCAGATGGCGTGGGGGTGCTCTCCTGAGCTACAGAAGGAATGGGCTGGTGGGAAAGAAGCCCTCAAGTCAAAAGAATGAGCGTTGTCCACAGTGGAAATGGTGGTCGTCTTGCTGGTCTCGCCATTCCGGGACCCCAAACGCTCCACGGCTTCCACAATGTTTAAGCCTTCTTTCACCTTCCCGAAGACCACATGTTCGTCATCCAGCCACTCAGTCTTGGAGGTACAGATGAAAAACGGGGAACCAGCCGGGCGGTGGTGGTGCACACCTTTAATCCCAGCACTCAGGAGGCAGAGTCAGGTGAATCTCCGTGAGTTCGAGGCCAGCCTGGTCTATAGAGCGAGATCCAGGGCAGGCACCAAAACTACACAGAGAAACCCTGTCTCAAAAACAAACAAACAAACAAATAAACTGGGAAACATTTGTGTTTGGTCCAGCATTTGCCATGGACAAGATGCCAGGACCTGTATGCTTCAGGATGAAGTTCTCATCCTCAAATTTCTCCCTGGAGATGGACCTGCCTCCAGTGCCATTGTGGCGTGTGAAGTCACCACCCTGGCACATGAATCCTGGAATGATTCTGTGGAAGGAGGAACCTTATATCTAAATTTTTTTCTCTCAGTGCTCAGAGCGCGGAAGTTTTCTGCTGTCTTTGAAACTGCAGATAACTCAAGGAGACGCGGCCCAAGGGCTTGCCATGGGCGGAGACGTCAAGAACGTGGGGTTGCCATGGCTGCAGCAAGCAGTGACGGGAACAGCGGCGTCTGCAAAACCCCTTTCTTACAATTTTAAAATCGCATTTTTATTTGTTTATTAGGGAAGGGGTCACACATGTGCTGTGGCATGTGTGTGGCAGAGGGCAACTTAGGGAGGGGGTTCTCTCCTTCCACTACGTGGGTCCCAGGGATCAGGCTCAGGTTGTCAGGCTTGGCAGAAAGCACCTCTACCCACTGAGCCATATTGCCAGCCCAAA